AAACATATAAAAAAGGATAATAAAATAATCACCCAGAGCTACCTGTTATTAACACATTGATGAATTTCCAATTGGTCCTACACATGCTACATAGAATTTTATCTGAGAGGGCTTTTTTAAAAACACAAAATCTGAGAGATTTGTAGAATTGATTTAAAAGATATAGATTTTCTATTATGATCCTTTTTCATAAACAGTAAAAACAACACAGCAAGACCAATTTTCCACCGATAACACTGTATGCCCATTCAAATAAGCTTTCTCCCTCTAGATCATATAATAATAGAACAAGGTTTCCCTTGGGTGGCACACTGGGGACAGATTCCTTTCCCTCTGGGTATGAGAGAAGTTCCCTTTGGAAAGTGTTTGCCATCACTGTTATGGGCAGAACACGGGGCAGAGGAACCGAGGTGTGTGGAGACTGCTCCTCAAGAGAGAAGGGCTCCTGGTTACACTTCCTGCAAATTTCTCAATGAAAAGCAAGCAGCAGTGACTTGGAGTTTCCATATCAGGGATTAAGCAAAATCAGCCCCACATTTTGTCTGAATACTGAGTTTTGGTTCTTTTTCTGGTCAAACTATAAGTATTCTTGCTTTCCTGCTCCTTGAGAGGAGGAGCTGAGGGAGTCCTAGGGAGAGAAAAATCCAGTTCCAGAGGAGAGCTCTTGCTGTCATTTTTTCCCTTTGTCTTTCCTTAACTGGCTATTGCACCATCCTGGGCAGGAGAACTATTCACCTCCATGGAGGATCTTAGGGTGCGGAGTCAAAGAAAGACCCCTCACAAAACCCGTAATGTTTTCAGATGAGAACATGTTTAACATAGCGATTAAAAGCTGTTGGGGACAAATTAATTTTGTCTTTAAGTAATAGAGGCCATGGGGTTTTCAGTAATCCAGATATTTACAAANATCCCCCCTGTAGTTATTGTACCAATTAGGCTGTAAATTTCACAACTTTAAATCCTTTCAAGAATACTATATTAATACACTTGTTCTTAATAATGTGAGCAAAATCAAGAAGAGAGGGCAGAAACAAAAGGATAAACGATTTCAAGAGAGCGCTAATTTTCACAATTGGGAAATTGAAGCCTATAGAAGTGTATAGGAAATGTAAAGGAAATGACCAATGTACCTCCCAATTTTCAAAACCTCTTAGGTTTTGGTGGGCTTCATATAGGCTTGATCATGCACCTATGCGGCAGTAGATACCGCAAGGGCCCTGCAGTCCCACAGTTGCCCTGGAAAGGGCTGCGCTTTCCCAGCCCAACTGCCATCAGGTGGGGAGTTCAGGTGCAGAGCTCAACTTTGCATATATGAGCATATGAAGCCAATGTAAACCAGATAATAATAAAATCTCATTAGGTGAAATTTTCTTTCCCAGAATAAATTGCCCTGTGTTCTACAATTGGGATTCGACTTCAGGAATAAGCATAAACATAGCTGCAAATATCTTTATGACCTATTTATTCCCAGGTGGTGTTTTGTAGGATTGAGAAGTCTGACCTTTTTCTTTTTCTTGTAGCCTTAAATAGCTTGACAGACATCTCCCAAGCTGTGCGTTCTTGGAATGTATCTAAAATTTTCATTTGCTTTACTCGTGTGTATGAAAACAATTGTGTGTGGGTACATCATTAAAAAGTGCACACATAAAAATTAACGATATGGTGGACTGGAAAACATCTGCAAATTGTAGACGGAGAGTTTCTTTGTTTAAATATTAAAAATATCCATCTCAAGGGTTCACGGTGATGTTACTGCTCACGGTCGTCTTTTTTTCTTTTTTAAATAGAAATTTCACGGATATATTGTGGACTAGAAAAAACGCTATCAGCTTTTAGTAAAACCGTTCCATCACTCCACCTCCCCTTTCCCTCTTCCCCCAAGGACGAAAGACTAAAAGGAATTGAATCAGACGGGTGAAATCTTGTGAAATACTGTGAAGATTTAAAACAAAACAAAAACTAAATATGAGACCTTCTGTCTTAGTGTGGAATATCTTACCAGTCTATTTGGAGGCGCATTTGTGTATCTGGGAGTCGTATTTTAAGACTTTGGAAATAGGCCCGTGACATTTTTCGGGGTTTGTAACCGAGATAGTAATGACGCAAGGCTGTGAATAATTAATTATTCATGTTATGGCACTAGGAAGCTTAGGTGTCGGCCATATGTTGCGGAGGCCTTTGTTTCAAATTCGAGTAAAAGGAGGGGAAAATAAGTAAGATGTGTAACCGCAGAGTAAACGTTGAATTGGCACCCTGGCGCTGGAGGAAGGGGCCGTAGGGTGCGTGACACTCCCAGAGAGCATTCACAGACCTTCTCCGCGTGGGCACTGGACAGGAGAGGCTTAGTCCCCGAGGGCCCCGGGCTCGCTGGGGGGCCGGGATCGCGGCGTCCTCACCCCGGAAAGCTTCAACTTGACTGGAAAGGAAGGGGTAGAGCGGGTGCAGGGCTGTGGCTGGGCCTGCCGCAGCAGAGTGGCCCGCGGGAGGCTGGGTGGTTGGATAAGCCTCCTGTCGCCGGGGCAAAGCACTGCGGGTGGGAGGCGTCTCCACAGGTGCTGAGAAGGCGCCTTTGGGGTAACCCTCATAAACTGCAGACCCCGCAAGAAAGTTAGGCCCAAGCGGCTTGTGTATGTGAATGAAGTTAGGGAGGGTGGATCTGGGGGGGAATAGGGATTGGATGCCAGAGGTCAGAAGGTATTAAAGTTGAAGAAATGCTGCCGCGGGGAGGAGGATTCGCAGAGGCTGGAGAGCCCGGGAGGTCCTGAAGCCTGGTGTCCTCCTAGCGCCCTCACCCCCGAGGGAGGAGGAGCGGGTCAGCGCCCCTCCCCCCAGCCCTGATGGGCCCTGAGAATTGGGAACCCGCCAGCGTCTGGGGTGCCTAACCCCAGGCTTCCTTGCCTCTCCCCCGCTCTGCCGCTCAGGGTGCTAGAGAAGAAGCAAGACACCGGGGAGACCATCGAGCTGACGGAGGATGGGAAGCCCCTGGAGATGCCTGAGAAAAAGGCCCCGCTGTGCGACTGCACGTGCTTCGGCCTGCCACGTCGCTACATCATTGCCATCATGAGCGGCCTGGGCTTCTGCATCTCCTTCGGCATCCGCTGCAATCTGGGCGTGGCCATCGTGGACATGGTCAACAACAGCACCATCCACCGCGGGGGCAAGGTCATCAAGGAGGTGGGCAACCGCTGGGCGCGTGCTTGCGCAAAGCCACGTCCCCTGTTTGAGCCCCGTTCCCCAGCCCCCAACTGACTGAGGAAGGCCTGGACGCTCCCTCACCTCCCTTCTAGCCCTGCCCTTCCAGAATGAAGCCTTCTAGGAGTATCACCCGTTTTGCTCCCGAAGCAAGTCGCCTCTGCCCTGTGGGCCTCTCACCCGCAAAGGGGAAAACAGTATCTAGCGCACTAGGTTTTTGAGAAGAGTGACTTCATACAAGAAGTTGGTACTTAGTAATGTCCGCTAAATCTAAAAGGAATTTTTTTTTCTTTCACTCAGAGGAATAGAGCAGCATGTTAGTTATAATTTCCCCGACTTCTTCCGATTCTCGCTAAACATTCTTAATTAAAATGAAACAAAACAGAGAAACAAATCAAGTCAATTGTGCGCATATGGGCAGTTTCCTCTAAAGGGCCTTTCGGAGCCTTCCACCTGGCTGGCGGGGAAGTGCCGCAGCTCAGGCGCACGTCGGGGTCTCCGGAATCCAGTCCCCTAATCTTACTGTGTGTGTGTTGGGTGACCCCTAGGGAGAGAAGGGTCAAGGTCACAAAAACCCTTGGGCCATACTTTCTGTTCAGGGATCTGAGTGACCATAAGCCCGGCAGAGCGAGGGTTGGGGAGAGTAATTCCTGGCTCGCTGTGCACGGAAGCAGTGAGCGCCAACCCGCCTTGGGGATTACGGGAGACCCTGCAAAGTGCGTTTGGTTTCAACATTTCACTCAACGGGAGAAAACGGGGGGCCCACTTCCCCTGGCTGAATAAGCGCTTTCCCCCCTTTCTGATGCAGATATTTCGCCCTAGTTTACTTTAAGGTGCACCTGGTTCGGCCGCCCAGACTGGCGAGGGCGGAGTTAGGCCCGGACCAGCAGACACACCCCTCTCCGGCACTTAGGACCACCCCAAAGCAACACCT